TGCATTGCAATTAAATATATCTTTAATTTGTGACTGGACTCTGTCAATGCTTTGGTGTCGCAATACGATCGTGACGAGCCGACACGAGGGAGCTCCTGAAGATCATGACGAGGCTTCCCTGAATGTTCCAAATATAGATCTGGTTCCTGGATGCTTGGCACATTGCCCAGCTATCGCAACGATCGTGTAGCCACCTTGCTGAGTACCCAGGCATCTTGAAAATCGAACCGCTGCACTGTTTTCGTATACTCAACGTCTCAAGTATCGCTACCAAGCTCACATTAATCTATCGGTTGTCTTGAAAGCCGCGACCTCCTTCTCACCGCCTGCTTATCGATAAGACACCAAAGGACCCCCGCGACACCCAATCCCGCGCGTTGGCACGAGCTGTAGAAAGACTGGTCAATCGCGTCGCAGACCTCGTCACGAACCAATTAACCACCTGCATTCATACCTCACCAGCTTGAAGCAATCCATACACACGATGTCAACGACCGAAGGCCCACTCTTCAGCTCCGAGCTCATCTCGCCCGAAGTCCTCAAAGCACTCCCAGAAGGCTACAGCTGCCGACCTCTCGAGAGGAAAGACTACCACAATAGCTTCCTAGATGTACTTAGGGTGCTCACCACAGTGGGAGACATAACCGAAGAGGTACTTGACCTCTCCCAACCCCCTACAACAAGCAAGACATAGCTCTGCCGCACCCCCTCCGAAGCAAACACACGTAGCACGAGCGCACCGCTAACACACCAACCTCCATATAGCAATGGAACAAACGCTACGACTGGATGTCCGCCCGCAACGACGAATACTTCCTCCTCTGCATCACCGACTCGTCCAACGCCATCGTCGGCACCGGCGCCCTCATCGTCGAACGCAAATTCATCCACCAGCTCGGCCTCGTAGGACACATTGAGGACATTGCTGTAGCCAAGGACCAGCAGGGCAAGAAGCTGGGTCTGAGGATCATCCAGGCGCTGGACTTTGTCGCGGAGAAGGTGGGCTGCTACAAGACTATCTTGGATTGCTCAGAGGCGAATGAGGGATTCTATGTCAAGTGTGGGTTTAAGAGGGCGGGGTTGGAGATGGCGCATTATTATGGGCGGTAGATGTGGTGAGAGGAAGGGGTGCGTTGGGCATAAAGTGCATTGTGAGGGCGTTATTTGGAGGGATTGAAGAGATATCAGATCTGTGGGATATAGACTATCGACAGAGTACAGCTAGAGTATAGAATTCTGGTATGGAGCTGCGCGTAAACGTCGTTTTCTTCAGATGCGTCTATTGTGACCAGGAGAAGTCCCCCGGATTTGCGCACCGAACCTGATGCTCTAGATGTTACGAAATGCATGCATCACGGTCCAGATTTGTAATGAAAAGTGATACAGGGCGCGTGTTGTACCGTGTTGGTTGTTGACCCCAGAGATGTTCGCCGCACTCTAGGGTTGTGGTGGATCAGCTAAACCTCGATTTGCTCGCTTGTACTCTACCACCAACGCCATCATCACCACCGCGCAACTTGAGAATCCACAACAACGATTACTATCAAAGAAGCAACTTATCGCCGATGAGGGTTGCTCCTGACTATCGCTTGGACCGCAGCAATCTGATGATCATTTGATTTAGGCGGGGGTTGAAATTTATCATTGTGGACGAGTCATTCAAGATCAAGAGATAGTTCACGGACAAGATGGCACACGATGAGCAACACGAGAATCGCGAAACCAGAACGCCACGAACCAGCGATAAGGGCACAGATCACGCAGAATTGGGGAAAGCACAATCAATAGCGAAGCCCGAAAACCAAGAATCTGCAGGCGGCAAGTTCTCACCCTACGACATGTCCAGTGCACCCAAGGTTTCTACCGGCCTCCCACCCGAGATATGGACTATAATGCAATCTGCGCCGGCAAATCTCGCGCCTGAGTACTTTCTCGAAACCAGTCGCGATCTGCTGGAGAACCCTAATCGCACCTCGACCCATCTTGCGCGCGCAGAGCTTTCCTACCAAAGTTTCGCAGACGCAACATACAATCCCAAGGCCAGTACCCCAGAGGAACTGGCGAGTATTGTCAAGCATCTACGACCAGAATGCCGACCACAACTGATCGATGGAGGTATAGAAGGGTACGAGCTAGAGTACACGGTTGTACGGAAACTCATACCTCGGAATCCGAAGTTGGATGACTCGCTGATGCAGACTTGTCATCTGTTTGTATCGCATGAAGACGTTACTGTCACCAGTACAGATGGAAAGGAGGAGACTGTTAAAGCAGAGCGGTATATGGTTGTATACATTCCTCATGCTGCAACCCCAGAAGCCATTCCCTACTATCACCCCAAAGTCCGCTTGTTGGCCATGCTATATACATACTTTCCATCCACCTCTACATCATCACATACATCTCTGATATACGCACCCGGGCACCTATCTATCCATTACTCCCTCTTCCCTGGCCAACCTCTCGATAACCGCCTCTCGCGCACTGGTCTCAAGCTTCTGGAAGTCATTCACAAACACTCGCGCGGTCGGCAAGCTGGGTATAAGAAGCGCGTTCATCACGATCAAGTCATCAGTCAAAAGAAGTTCCAGGACACATATGCATTCTTGAAGGGCAAGTATGCAAAAGATCTGATCGAAGGATGGGTGGAGCAGACGCCTGCTGAGAAACATGTTTTCGAAGACCTGGGTATTGCTGCCTTCCTCATGGAGCTATGGACGGACATGTACGGACCTAAAGACAAAATCAAGCATGACGAGGACTTTATGGAAGGGGAGGAAGATGCGAAAGAGCAAAATTATAAAACAGCACAAGCTAGCTTTCCAGGCTTCGTAGACATCGGCTGCGGAAACGGTCTGCTCGTCCACATCCTCAACGCCGAAGGTTGGCAGGGCTGGGGTTTCGACGCCCGACGAAGAAAAACATGGGAAACCTTCCCTCCACACCACACAGAGAAGCTGCAAGAAATGCTCCTCGTACCTGAGATCCTCCAACCACCTCCCTCAGACACAAGTGCCCCCTCAACACCCCATCACAACGGCATCTTCTCATCCGGTACCTTCATAATCAGCAACCACGCTGACGAACTCACCCCATGGACACCGTTACTGGCATACCTTAATTCCTCGCCTTTCATCGCCATACCATGCTGCTCGCATGACTTTGGTGGAACGAGATTCCGCGCGCCGGCGCATGCAAAACACGTTATACCTGATCCCATGACGGCGGATTCGAAGAAGCCCAAGCAACCCTCTGCGTATGCTAGTCTGTGCAGTTGGGTATGCCATCTAGCAGAGGAGACGCGATTTGTTGTTGAGAAGGAGCATCTGAGGATTCCTAGTACGAGGAATATCGCTGTGCTGGGGAGGGCCTCGCTGAAGCAAGAGGGGCGCGAGGATGCCCATGCGAGTGTAGAGGAGAGACTCGACTTCTTGAGGGTATTGGTGGAGAAGGAATCAGGTGGACAGCCGATCGGGCAGACTTGCGTTAATTGGATGCAGAGCGGCGATGGGTTAATGAAGACTGGAAAGGGCGGACATTGAGACAGACGATTCTCTGTGCTACGAGATCGTGAAGAAGTGCAAGGCGCCCTATGTCGCGTCATGATCGTTCATACCAATATCAACGAGGTGCAGCTGGCATGGTCTGTGACAGGACACGCCCTCAGATGCACAAAGAGCAAATCAAACAGGATAGTTCACTGAAGGTTATGGGGTATCATTGAGGACATGGTCGTCCAGGACTGCATCATCGCAACTTAGACAAGCGATCCATTCGTAGTATCATCCGGTCATTTCGCCGTATCCGAACCCATTTTGTAATGCAGTAAAGCCCGACATGAAGATGAAACCGTATCTAGCCTTACTCCAGAAAGCCCTCAACTGCTTACGAAGCAGGAGCAGCGCCGCGTCCCCGGCCGAAGCCACCACGGAACTCGGGCTTGAACTCGCCAGGGGCAGCACCCTCAGCCTTCTCGCCAGCGTCACGGCGGCGGTAGCCGTCACGGTCACCACCACGGTCACCGCCACGTCCACCACGACCGCCACCACGGCGCTCACGGTCGTCACCGCCGCCGAGCATACCCCGGGGAGGAGCAGAGCGCTGCTGCTTGATGTGGGTCTGGGGAACGATCTCGGCGGGGAGGTGGAGCCATTCACGGAGGTAGTCGAGACCCTCAGGGGTGAGGGTGTAGTAGTACCATTGCCATGAGAAGCGGGTCTTGAGGTAACCGCGCGAGGTCAAAGACTGGCCTGTTGACTGTTAGGGGCCGACGGTGTTGCAGTGCAGTAGGGGGTACTGACAAGCCTTGACGACGTAAAGGTTCTTGGTGTCGATCTCGCCGTGCTTGGGAAGGTTGAAGTCCTTCTTAGCAACCAGAACTCCCTCTGTGGTGACCGTGTGTCAGCCTATCCTTATATGCAGCAAAGCCGCGAAAATGTATAATGGTGCCATAGCCATGGCTCGAGTGCGCGGGGATACTAACCTCTGAAGAGGTACCTGGAGAGAAGAACGGTTAGCAAATATGTTCAATTGTATGGAAGGGAATCAAGTGTAGCTCAGCCCATATCAAGTCGTATCATTTCGTGCGAAACTCAGAGCTCGAATGCGCCGTGGCATTGTTTGTTGTAGAGGGGGACTAACTCGTGGATCTTCTTGCGGTCGGCCTTGGGGATGAGCATCTTGACGGTTTGCGAGAAGTCTCGGGATGTCAGGAGTTGTGGTTGAAGGTCGATAAGGGCAGAAGTTCGCTGGTAGAGAGCAGGCGATTTCGAGTGATGGGTGCGAAGCTAGTCTAAGCGAGCGCTATGACCAGCTGTTGCGGTTCCGCCAAGGCCCGGTCCCCAATCTTCAAGACTCAGTCGCCTGCTTCCTCACCAAACCACTCTCACCCACCAACAAGCAACTTTCACTTTAAGCAGAAGTAATCGCCCAAATCGCGTTTTGAAGCGATCGTGATATTCACCCCGCTCGCGCGACATACACAATACCGAGTCGCAACCATGGACGCCGCCACCCAGTCCCCCATCACCGTCATCGTCAACAGCATTCGCGGGCAGAACATCGCCTTTGCGACGCAGAAGGATGCGCCTCTTACCTCCATCTACGATACACTCTACGAGCGCGCACCATGGATCCAGAACTCATCCTACATCCTGACCACCAACTCGCGCCGCTCCGTACGTCATGACGCTGCGCCCGTGTCGTCGCTCCTCTCTTCCCCTGCAGACACCTTTCTATCCCTACGCCTGACCGTACCGCTATGTGGTGGAAAGGGTGGTTTCGGATCTATCCTGCGCGCCCAGGGTGGTCGCATGTCCTCGCGCAAGAAGAAGCAGGGCGACGTGAATGGATCATCTCGAAATCTGGACGGGCGACGCCTGCGCACAGTCACCGAAGCCAAGGTGCTTGCTGAGTACCTCGCGATCAAGCCCGAGATGGAGCAGCGCGAAAAGGAGGAGCGACAGAAGAAGTGGGAGGACATCGTGGCCAGCACCGAGCGAAAGCAAGAAGAGCTACAAAACAGCAGAGGCACAGCACGTCTTGATGGGAAATGGGTTGAGGACAAAGAGGAAGCAGAGAACAAGACGAGAGAAGCTATCGAGAAGATGCTGATGGCACAACGAGACAGCTCAGAGGAAGAAGAAGACGAGGCTCAACCGACCGCTTCTTCGTCAAAGCCTGTGCAACAACGGGCCATGTTTGGCTGGGACGACGAAGATGATGAGTTCATGAGCGATAGCGATGAAGAGGACGAGGTCTCCGAGGAGGACGTCAAGCCAGTGATCGAAGGAAAGGGGAAGGGCAAGGCCGTCTGAGATCCGTCGCACAGCCAGAAAAGTCGCGGAGGCAATTTGATTTGAGCAGCATACAAAGGCGTTAAGCACAAACTACACTATAGATACCCCATACCAATGCACACATTATTAGCACATGGGGCGCACCAATTTCGCCCCATGCGTTCAACATCTTTCTGGAACAAACTGCCAAAACAACAAACTGCCATTCTTCAACTAATGTCCATCCCATCCGCTTTATCATCGCGTGTTCGCATGCTTCCATTAGCCGACGGATAACCTGCATATCAGAAAGCGGGATAGTCCCGCACTACTGTTATCGGACATCCGACCCACCCCTTCCTTACGACTGGGCGCCTGTCATGTCATGTTATCCTTTGAGATGCCGACTTCCATGACCCGTGCCGCCATGACTTTCATCTCTTTCCCTCCTCACTTTTCCTCACATAATGGCTCTGCTGGCTAACAGATTCCCGACTGCACTCCGCATTGCAAGCAGACGCTACCCCGCACCGAGAGCTGTACCTACTCCCAGAGCAGGAATAGCATGCAAACATGTCAGATGCTTCTCTAATTCGCCACAATGGCAGATCAGAACGAAGGAGATGACTGATGATTCGATGAGAGATCTGAAAGTCAACCAGGAGAGATTAATGAAGGATATCCACGACACATGCCAATGGGGTATAGGCGAGCCATGGGGCGAGTAAGTGGTCCAAGTAATGGACGTCCATGTGGCTGACGATAGTAGAAAGCCAACGGAGACGGGTATGAAGCGATTGGCGCTGTCTGATGCAGACAAGACTGCACGTGACTGGTTTGCAGAAACAACAAAGGCACTCGGCTGTGAGGTTACCGTTGACGCCATGGGAAATCAATTCGCTGTGCGACCGGGACTACGGAACGACAAACCACCTACATTTGCCGGAAGTCACTTGGATACGCAGCCTACTGGTGGACGATATGACGGCATTCTGGGTGTTACTGCTGGCGTGGAGATGCTCAGAGTGCTCGCTGACAACTGGACGGAGACCGAGTACCCTGTCGGCGTAGTCAACTGGACTAATGAGGAGGGTGCCCGCTTCCCAATGTCAATGGTTTCTAGCGGAGTTTGGGCGGGCTCTATCCCTCTTGAAACGGCGCACAACCTTCGCGAAGTTCATCCTGGAACCGCAACCATGAAGTCTGAGCTCGAGCGCATTGGTTACCTGGGGAGCACACCAGCGAGCCACGAGGCCATGCCCATGGCGGCGCACTTCGAACTTCATATCGAACAGGGTCCGCTTCTGGAAATGGCAAACAAGAAGATTGGAGTTGTCACTGGCGTGCAAGCTTACAAATGGATGACGATCAAAGTCAAGGGACGAGACACGCATACCGGAACTACCGATCTCAAGTCGCGAGCTGACGCGTTGTTGACAGCGAGCAAAATGATCCTTCATTCTCATCGTCTTGCAACCGCCAATGCCGCATTAGCATCCACGGGTATACTCAACCTAAAGCCTGGCTCAACAAACACAGTGCCAGGCGAGGTAACTTTCAGCCTCGACATCAGGGCGCCAAAAGACGAGACAGTCGCGAAGATGAAGGAACTAGTTCTCCGCGACTTCCCCAAGATCGCCGCAGGCAAAGATGTTGAAGGCTCAAACCACGGTTGCACAAGTGGTCTTCCACTCAGTGTTGAGATAGTCGAGGATTTCGACAGCCCAGCAACCAAGTTCCACGCAGACTGCATCACCTCTGTCAGTCAGTCTGCGCGCAGTATTCTCGGCCCTAACCAGTCTATGGAGATGACTTCTGGTGCTGGGCATGATAGCGTCTATGCGAGTAAGCGCTGCCCGACGAGCATGATCTTCGTGCCGTGCAGAGAAGGTGTGAGCCACAACCCAAGGGAGTTCTGCAAGGAAGAGGACTGTGCACTCGGTGCCCAAGTTTTGCTACAGAGCGTGGTAAGGTTCGACAGGATGAGGGATGAGAGAAGGGTTTCATGGAAGCAAGAGCCATATACTCTATAGGGAGAGCCCGCTGGGCGACAGCTTAGCATGACCCGTGTAATCTTTGGTAGTTCATGAGCTCATTCGTTGGAGCACTGGCAATCAAACAGTATCATCCCACATTCTCACGCTCGGCGAAACGATGTGAAGTTTAACATTGACGGCGACCAGGAGCGGGCGACTTGAAGGAAGCTGGAGTGCAGTAGCGCCGCATGTGACTTAGCGCCACTGCCAGTTGGGCAACGCCCGAATGTCCGCCCCGTTGCCTCCTCCACATGCCTAGCTTTCTCGACATATACTCTTTTTGAGAGCTGAGAGCCAATAACGATACCATTCTAGGGGCTTGTGTGATACTCGAATCGCAAAAGCTGCTTTCCGATTGCACCGCGCCAGGGAAGTGCGTTTCACGGCGCGTTGCAGCTGCAATCCAGCCATGCTCATCCCTGAGGCAGACGTTCAGCCCGCCAAGCTCAACACACCCAGCATGTGCCTTTCAAATGGCCCTCGCGCTTCATTAGTTATACCACGCTGCAATCGGATCTTGGATTCAGCCCTGGGGAACTTGGCATTTGGGACCGGATCGCACGAACAGGTTGTCCTTCTCGCGAACAGCTTGGGCATTACAGATCAGCGTACAACACCACTTGATTATCACTAATTCATACACAGTCCTCCGAAGAAAATTGTCGCGATAGGTCCGTTCGGACTGCGGCTGACATTGCTGCCTGCAGGTGCTTCAATAGGCGCGCATAAGTCACCCCACGCTTAACCCAAGGTCCTACAAGCCGTCGGCATCCATGATACCCAAAGATACGAGATATTGTTATTGGTGGCGCTCGGCCAGACCGATGTGTTACACATGCATACTTGCACAGGAAGGCTGATACTTTGCTCTCTCAGCTCGTGGAACAAGGGTAGCCGAGGGTAGAAGCAGGTACAGCGCATGTGCACAAACCGCATTCCTCGCCGGCACTCACAACACCACAAGAACTTGTTCTATAACGCTTTACCGTAGATCACGATGCGACCAAGTCTTCGCTTCCATGTTTTGAGTATCGCCGCGCTGGTCGCTGGAAAAGACATCCCCAATTCACAGGTACGGGCGACAGGAGTGCAGGTAGCGATCCCAGAGAGTCTCATCACGCCGGCTCCTGTCATACATGGCGATATATTCAAAAGATCCGTTGCGACATGCGGTTTCATTCGTGGCAACTCAGGTGAATCGATCTTCATCTTGGGAAGCAGTCAACGTCTAACCTGGAACAGAATTGCCTATCACGTGTGCGGAAAACTATAACTGCATCACTACACAGCAACTTGAGAAGGGTTTTGCATGCTGCAATAACGTTGAGTGTCTCGATAGTTGGGCTACATGCCGACCGTACGGTCAGACAGATTGTTTCGGCTATTCCCTCCCAGCCGACACCTGCTCGTCCATATATGGCTCAATTCTTCAATGGTATGCCCTCCAGAGTTTTTGTAATAGAATGAATGCTCATCTCAGTCTGTAGTTCGCAGCAAGCACAACAGTGCTTCCGCTACGCCCGCACTTCTGCCCTTGACGACACGAATACATTCTACTCCTGGGCATGTGGAACAGCTTCAGACGACATTCTCGTGCTTGCGACATCAACAGTTGAAGGAGAAGTTCTGACCGCGGGATCCGGCACCACGGGTATCGATGAATTCCTGCGATCGATCACTAGTGGGCTCCAGCCCACCGCCGGCAGCAAAACCCCAGCGGCCGGTGGTAGTGGAGGTAGTGGTGGCAGCAGCAGTAATCCGATCAGTACCACTGCCATTGCGCTCATAACGGTGGCTGGTATTGCTGTACTTGTCATCGCTTTTCTCATCGGATATTTCTGTTGGTGGCGCAAGCGGTATCAGGATAACAACGATGTTGTCAAACCGAAGAAGCAATCTCAGTTACAGTACGAGCCGACTGTCACTCAAGGTCCCCGTACCGAAGTCATACCCGCATATGGCGGGTCTCGGGATGAGATCATGGCTAAATGGAGCGGCCTGACGCCTCCCGGAGCGAATCCAAACGTGCCGCCATCTGAGGCTGCTAGTGAATGGTCTGGGCCCACTGCGAGTGAGATGCCACAGCCGATGGCAACAGTACACGAATCGGGCAGCAGCTTTGGCAACAGATTCTATGACCATTAGCTTGTAATGGCTACACGAAGACTCTATTGGCGACTTCGATGAACGTTAGGCTGAGCACGAAGGACGTGGTTAGCGAGACATTCTCAATGGACTTGTTGCGAGGTGCTTTGTAAATTGACCTAATATCTAAATTCAACCTTGAGAAAACTGTCAGCTAGTTCCAACGAACACAAGCAGCAAGCGACATTTCCCCTCATCTCACATAGAAGCTTCCCATGCCTTCCTGGTCGCATCTAGTTTCCGCACTTTATCGGTCTTGAACACCAACTTCCACTTGCTATCATCGAACAACCCCAGAAGATTACATTCATCGCCACCATTTCCGCCGCGCGACAGCCCAACCTCGTTGACAAAATTCCACTCGCGGCCGCAACGTGCATCACACTTGCACGGCACCCATTTCGAGAACCGCTTTAGCATCTCGCGTCGATTAGGGTCTACGTCTGTCATTTTGGCGATGTCAAGACTAGACTCGACGTGGAGCATGTACAAGATCGCCATCACGAATGGTTTCCGATGTATGCTGTTGCGCACGTCGCGCTTGTCTCGGAGAAGGCGCGCCCAGGCTTCGAAGACCTGCTTGTTTGATGGCTTTGGATCGGGGCCGAACTGCTCGAAGAAAGCGCTGACTATGGCTTTGTTAGTACTGCTCGGGACTTGTAGTTAGTTTCGCGCCACGTACAAGTAACCTTTTTGTCTTGGGGATCGCATCTGTCGTATATCTTTTCGTACACGTAGTATGAGTCCAGCGTTAGATGCTGCCAGTACGATGGCGCATATTCTTTGATGTACTTGGGCCCTTTGTACAATGAATAGAACAATTTTGTCACAGCAGGCTTGACGTGTGTTGCAGATGGAGTTGGCGATATGACTGGTTCTATCGCATGATAGTAGTCAGCATTGATCTACGTACTACAAGATACGACCCAGATAGGAGGCGAGTTAAGTAAAGTCCATTTCTTCGGAAACAGCGAGAGTCAACGCACTTTTCTCAGTTCCTGCCACGTTCTCCCAGCGCTCTACCATTTCTATGGTCTGCGCATCGTTGCTAAACGCCTCAGTCCGCTCCGCGATGATGCCTTTCTTGCTCGCCTCGTCAATCGCCACTTCGGAGAGGTCAGGAGGGTTGAACCTGAAGTATCCGCCCCGGCTCGCCAACTTCTTGTGCGTCAGATGAAATTTGTTCGCCGTGGTCTGAGTCTCTGTCGCAATCGAAGCAATACTCTTCGCAACCTCGGTAACCTTCTCGCCGAACCCGTGCAATGCTGGCCTACCGGTACCGATCGATACCAGTACTCGGATCTGCTTGTCAAACTCTTCTTCAGATTTGTCGAACAGCGACATCGCTTCGAGATATAGTTCGTCGATGGGATTGTTGGATCCGATACCTGCGTCAAGGAATCGTCTGGGCGCACCAGCGTGTGTGATGTCCATTGGCGCAAAGAACGATGTGGCAGCCGATGTAGCACGAGCTACCTCCCAGATCTTGACTTCGTTGTAAAAGTTGGATTGCTCGCCGGCTTTCTCGTAGCTGGTAAAGCGTATTGGACTACGACTTTCTGCTGTCATGGCAATCACGACCCTTGCTAAGTCAGCGCATGGTCTCAAGACAAAGAACCTTAGGACGTTACGTTTTACAAGCTGAGATTTTCGACCCTCTGAACCGATCGTCAGATGTGTACCCAGCTTTGGAGATCACCTGCTTGATCGCTTTCTCCATGTGTTTCGTCTTGTACCGAGGCTGAACTTTACCATTCCGAATTTTGAAAGGCAGTTTTCTGTCTTTCGGATCGAAGACGACGTCCATCAGTTCGGTGTACGCCTCAATGCACTGATCGACAGACATCTCCAGTCGACCGAGCATGATAGCAATCAAACCTCCTGTGCTTGTTCCGCAGATCATGTCAAAATAGACACATGGCTTTGGGCTGCCAACCAAGGATAGTATCTTCCTTAGCATATACAGTGATGCCAGACCACGTACGCCTCCTCCATCGAGACTGAGAAGTCGGAGATCTCCAGACATTGTCGCTATGTAGCTCGGTAGCATTCGTAAATCCTAGATGCAAAGCGCATACATCTGAAGGAAGGAAGAAACACGTGGAAAGACGAATGCAGAGCTCAACAGCCAGCGCGTAAAGACCTTAGACGCACGTGACATATCGCGTAACTCAGCTTTCGTCCCGAAATGGTTTTTCTTGGTGTGAGTCAATTCGCAGCTAGATCCGCAAAGCCGCTGTTCAGCTCGAGACCGGTCGCTGAACACTGCGTTGGGCCTGTACCCCCACGATGCGACGGCTTGCAATGCTAGGCTACGATTCGTTCGTACAATCTTACATCTTCGCGTGAATGAACAACTCTGAATGGCTAGCCATGCTGTCGGGCTACACAAGGCTAAGCGGATGATGCAGAAGACCAAATGCGAGGGGCAATATGTGGCTTTTCTTGGCAGCTGAACAATTAGAAATCGAATGACCTGAACACAATAATCTTTTGAGGCGCATTTCTCAGGGCATTGATTGCGAGTGGTTGAAAGCGCAAAAGGAAAACGAGGCAATGTCACACGGCGTTCTTTGGATGCGCAGTGGTTGACCCCTCAGGAAGCTTGGCCGACAGTCTTGTCCGTACCTTGTCACCCAACTCTTCAACCGACTCCACCAAGTCAATGTTGTACTTTTCACATACCAACTGTACGTTGCCTCTCTTCCAGAAACCCTCTGGACAGCAAACAATCGCCTTGCCTGTTCCGGCATACAGTCCTAGTTCCAGCAGCGTGATGGGCTGTAATGCCTTAGCCTCGCCTGCGAAATAGAAAACGATAACATCGGCTGTGCGCGCGTAATCCATTTCCCATTCAACCTGCTCTTTGAAAGGCGGGAAAGATATGTCTTCGATCCAGCTGCTGTCCCAGTCATCTCGGCGTGGGTTCAGGATAGCAATGGGTAGATCGGAGAGCAAGGCTGTGAGGTGTGCCTGCCAGTCCTTGTTGGGATCGGACTGAATAGCTCCATAGAGAATCACAGATGGCCTATCGACTAACGTTCGGATGGGGGGTTTGTGAACGATGGCTTTGGTTGTGGAAGAAGACATGTCTGATAGAATTTGTGATGGTGCGGAGGCTGGCGCTCCACAATAACCGCGACTTGCTATGACATAGTGATTATGTAATCTGTTGTCCTGAAAATCAGGCGACCCTCCAACGCCTAGTTGGTACCAGCCTTGCATCCGACATCCATCGTAAACCCAGCCATTGATTAAGTACATCGGATATCCATAAGAGCGTCGCAATGTCGTAAGAAAGCAGTCATATCGAGAAACGCACTTCTAGTGTCAAGCGTGGGGCGAAGCTCACAGGGCCCGGGGTGCCAGGTGCCCGTCTGGCCAGACCTGACGTGTGTACGGATTCGCAGGGTCGCCTCCGTTACCCCCTTCATATGTGACCTGGACGGTCCGCTCGTACAGGATAGCTTCCTCGCTATCGTTGTCTCCTTTATAAGAGACGTGCCCGGTCGGCGCCTTGGCCTCTCGCCCACCCGAGGCTTTAGGAGCCACGCTAGCAAGAGGAATCTCATCGTCGCCGTCTCCTTGCGCGCCGTCTACAGTGCGCATCAACGTATCGTACTTGCGCTTGGCGTTTCCATCACTTCCCCAGGTGCGCAACCCGCGATTGCGACCTGAGGAATCTTTGTTTTCAGATCCGCGACTCTCGCCGACTAATCGCGGGGCCGCGTGTTTTAAGAAACGTCGCAGGGTCGGCAAGCAGCAGCATATGACGAACAAGTTCGATTCGACGACGCTGTATTGTGGTTAGTTTCCTGAAACCACATCAGATCAACGGAGGCCTTACATCCACAAGCACCCCACGGCTATGATCCAGGTCTGGTCCATGTCTGTCAAAGCTGGGATCAACACAATAAGGCGAATTATTGAAGTGACCATTGTGCTATATGGAGTCAGCATTGGTTCGTAGCGCGACTTTCCTTCTCGGTGGACACTCACATTGATCCAACACAGAACATGATTGTCAGTCCAATCTTCTGTTTCATCGCCATTTGCAATCCCCAGACGGTCGGAATGGGGATGGCCATCAGCATCACATCCGTCACGATACCGATCACAGCCGTAGCAATATAGATTGCCCCTCTGTTGACGCATGTTGCCGTAGCGAGCAGTAGAGGATCCCAGCTGGCTGCAATTGGCTTGCAAGCGAATATCAAACTGAAGAATATCGCTGTATACGAAGCAGCGCAGACGAAAAGGGTGATCCAAACAGCCCATTGGAAGGCGACGGACGGGGAGAGACGACTGTAAAAGATGCAGAGTGCGACCTTCGTCAGGGCTGTGCAAGGAGCATACACGACTGGTGCTGCTAGAATGAGCTGTCAAGTCGTCGAATCAGCACATACGCAACAAAAGTAGGTGAGGGAAAGAGTTGTCAGCTTACTCGCGAATAAAAGCCGTATTTCTCGATCGAGATTTCCCAGGCGTGTACACCGATACTACCGGTCGAGAATCCAGTTATCAAGAGACCTTGAGTGCCCACTGAACAAGCCCAACCAAGGAGGAGTAATGCTGGACCTCTGTCAGAAGAGTTCCTCTGCCACTGTTATTGGATATCATACCATCGTCAATCTGGAACTGCTTCATAAGCCGAATCTTGGTGTAGAGCCGCTGCCCAAGAAACGCAAGTGCCAAGATGTTCTCGACGATGAAGACCACATACGTCTCCGTCACCAGCCTCCGCTGTGGGTTCGCGAAGTCGACCTCGTAGCCATCGGGTGGAGGGATGATGGTTGTGACGCCGTTAACTGTCGCCATGACGTGGCAACCGTTGGACAAAGAACGGATAGTTGATTAATGAACAACGGTCTCGGGAGCGGCAACTAAAGAATACCCCAACGAGGGAGAGCATGTACGCCTAGGACTCTTGAAACCTTCTTCTCCAACTAGCAGGCGGAGGTGCTTCACACATAAGGTTGTGGAGGCTAGACGGCCAAGTTTGCGCTAAATTTCCAGTCCAGGGGCGGAACACATGGGGAGTGGATGTGAACGACATTCATGTCGATCGCATCGAAGTACTCGCCTGGACGTGAAGGCCCGTCTCGGTAAACTTGACCCCTTCGCCAGACCGTTGACCTCGATATGGACATGGAGGCACAATAACTACCGAGAAGGGGTCCGGGGTCTTGCTCAGATAGATATGACACCTTCATGTGATCGGGACGACCATGGCCAATGCACATTTGGCTGCTGGTTTACTGATTTCAGACCACTTCAAACTGTATATCAGGCCTCCATACTCCAGTCCACAAGACGATTCAGTGCTCATCTGGTTCATGCCCCAGTCTCCACTGAACAGATCGGATCATACGATAACCGATATGCTATGAGAGTCATGGTGAACACCTCTCAGATCCGCATTTCTGAAGCATGATAATTGGCCGCAATGCGAGCGAAGAGTCGATGCTGACGCGTGCGAAAAGGTTGAGATCTGATCCTACAGATCGAAAACGTCGAAGCCCCGACGGATAAGGCCGATACTAGCTATTCCCGTAGCTTGTGGGTCTTGTGTTCGGACCGCCCGCGGCATTGGTGCAGAGTGTGATAGGTTCCATTTTACCGTCCCGTGTTCAAGGATAATATTTGCCTATCATATCGATGAAAATATCTGGAGCCCTCGCCTCTTTTCTCAGGGACCAGAGGAGCACACCCCTCCTTAAGGCTAATGCGCACACCACGTGTTAGAACGGCAGCTGGATATGTACCCTTCTGCTATACATGTTAAGATCCGCATAAGAGCCGCCTACCTAGGCAGGAGGAGGACTTTTCAGGTTTAAATGCCAAGTTGGAGCGATATCTCTTTCGGGTGCTGTTAGCCGCTGCTGGCATGGTAACTCTGCCTGCAGCGATGGCGGCAATAAAACCCCAACCGACCCGGCATATCGGTCCAACAACATCTTTTTCGAGTGTGCTAAGTTTTAAAGTTGAGACAGCATGAAGCTCCTTGCACCGGCTATTGTTGCATCTCTGGGATTGCACGCCGAAGCTGCCCAGTTCGTCGCCCACAAGAACGAGGTTCTTGGCAGTAAGAATGACAGTTGCGTGCGTGACGGGTACTCCCTAGTCAAACTTTGACCATTGCTGACCGGGTTTAGTGTTCATCGCTGGAGGTTGCCGGACTGAAAAACATCTTTTACGAGAATGATGAACAGTACAAAAACCGAACAGCATCTTACTGGTCGGTGAGTGCTCAGTTGCAGCCTAACTGCATTGTCCAACCAGTATCTACCGAAGAGGTTTCGACTGCTGTCAAGACCCTGGGTGCGCAAAGCAACTGCAAGTTTGCGGTGCGGAGTGGTGGTCATTCGACCTGGGCCGGGTCCAACAACATTAATGATGGCGTGACACTCGACCTCGGTCTTATGAACACAACTATCTATGATGAGGCAGCAAACCTCGCACGATTCCAGCCTGGCACCCGATGGGGTGGTGTTTACGGCGCACTTGAACCTTATGGGGTTACTGTCGCGGGTGGACGAGCAAGCAGTGTTGGTGTTGCCGGTTTCTTGACCGGAGGAGGAAACTCTTTCTACACTGCGCGAAGGGGTTTTGCTTGTGATCAGGTACAGAACTTCGAGGTTGTCCTTGCGGATGGGTCAGTACTCCGTTGCATCATCGCACAATACATGGGTTGTCGCTAATACCAAGCAGCGAGGTTGTCAACGCGAACGCTACGTCCAACAGCGACCTCTTCACAGCCCTCAAGGGTGGCTCTTTCAACTTCGGTATCGTCACCCGCTATGACGTGCAAACATTCGCTGCCGGAGACCTTTGGGGTGGTGTCAGGGTTCACGACAAGAACCACACACAACAACACGTCGAAGCTTACACAGCGTGGGTCGACAATGTCGAGAATTACCCTGACGGCTCCAGCATCGTCTTCTGGAGCTACCTACCTGCCATGAAGGATATCGTCATCATTGCCGCATACGAGGATGTTGCCGGAAACGTAGCTCCCGCAGGTTTCGACAAGTTCATGGCTATCCCTGCTCTATCCGATACTACAAGGAAGGCAAGCCACAAGAACCTTACTGACGAGCTTGAGCAACCTACAGGATACCGGTATGTCATCCTGAACGCAAAAAAATGATCAAACTGACAGATCTAGTGACATCTGGTTCACCATGACTTTCAAGAACGATGCCACCGTATTCAAGTACATTGTCGACGCCCACACCAAGTTCGTCGAAGCATGGAAGGCGATCAGTACCGACGGCGACTTCATCACCCAGTGCATGTTCCAAGCTATCCCGACCACCTTTGCCGAGCACAGCAAGGAACGCGGTGGTAACGTCATGGGTCTTGATCTCGTAAAGGACAACGCAGTCATGCTTCTTTTCGACATTGCTGTCAAAGGAGAAGAGACCGAAGTCATTGCGAGAGAGGCGCTCAGGGCCGTCACCGAAGAGATGCAAAGATTCGCTGCCAGCAAAGACGCTCTGGTAGACTGGCAGTACCTAAACTACGCCGACGCTTACCAGGACCCACTTGGTAGCTACGGCTCCGCAAACGTCGCTAAGATCCGAGCTGCGGCTAAGAAGTACGACCCCAAGGGTATGTTCCAGACTCAGGCACCCGGTGGATTCAAAATCTCAAAGGTCAAGAATTCGACTTTTACCAAGCAAGAGTTGTAAGTCTTGATAGCGCATCCGCTGATTACAGCGAGCAATACGAGGCAGAGGAGGAGGCTTTTTCATGTTTATTAGCAAGCCACGACTTGAAGGATCTTCTGTTTTATCTATTCTGCCTCAAAGATCACCATACCCATTACCTTCATAGCTAGGTGCATCCAAAAGCTCAATAGCCCTGGCTCTTAGCTCTCTATTCTGCTGTTTCCCCTCAACCTCGTCCCTCAACTTCGCCGCCCTCTCAAAGCACTCTTCCGCCTTTTCCGTATTCCGCGCGATACGAATATACCTCGCAATCAACGGAACGCACCACTCGACAAGCTGCTTTGCCGTAGTTCTTTTCTCCACGTCTCGTTCCCACATACTTTTATACCAGGTGTTGAGTGTTCTAGTATATGGCCAATGCTTCCAAGCGCTGTACGCGTCCGCGCCGTTGGCGCAGATGGACATGCGGACGTCGTGGTGATTTATCAGTTCCTCCTGTGTAGCGTCGAGGGGGCGGTAAACGGTGGGTATGAGAATACGCCATTTTAGTTGTTTCCAAGCGCCGTCGTCAATCAGGATAGGCGCGGGTTTGTTTGCCTTAATCCGACTCTCGACGAAAGCCTCCCGCGATTGGACAGGATATATTCTCAAAGCGAGCGTTTGTAAGGTCGCACCCAGAGCCCAGATATCAACGGACGGCCGCTGCTTCTCTTGTTCGGGTAATGGTGGTGCCCATTCGGGTGTGCCAAGGAAATCTTTTTTGGGCTTCTCACCTTCGGGTAGAGGGTATCGTGTCATGCGAGCGAAGTCGGTCAATCTGAATACCGGCTCATCAGGGATCCCATCTTTTGGATTCCAGCCTTTGGGAAATTCGACCAAGATGTTGTCTGGTTTGACGTCGTTGTGTATGTAGCCAAACTCGTCGTTCATGTTGTGCAAGTAATCTAGAGCAAGGGCCATGTCGCGAAGACACTTCCAGATTGTGACTTCGGGTGTTCGTATAATGAGTTTTGAATGCCGGAGTTGCTGCTCTTTATAGCTGGCCATGTATGCAAGAAGATCTCCTAGCTCGCAGAATGGAAGGAAGATTGCTGGGGCCGCGGGATGATGGTTATGCGACCATGCTAACATTCCGGCGATGTGCTCATGCTGACCGAGGATGGTAAGATTTGCGATTTCTTCTTTGATGCGTTTAGCTGCTTGAGATGCATGGTAAGGAGTGTTGTACGCAATAGGAGTTTTTACTGCAATGAGCGCTTTCGAATATTTGTGTTGGTATGCGTAGACTGTGCCATCGCCTAAATGGATGCACGAAGTCAGTAAATGTCTCACAACAGTTCGTACATGGAGATTACTCGCCCCCTTCTCCTAACCAGCGTGTTTGGTTGAATAGCCTTCTGAACTTTGCGTAGTCTTCTAAATCACCCGTATTGAAAGATGAATTCATGCTCGCCTTTCTTCGCTCCCCGCTAAGATCCAAGAAGATTCGGCTCATGTGCTTGAGTGAATCCATTTGAAAAGGGTGGGGTATATGAGATTGGAGTGACAGCACTGTTTAAAGCTGCGGCTTGAAAACACAGACGTGGCTATTATATACTCACAAGGTGCCCTAGCATCCTCAACTTTGGTTGGCGTTGACTGGTAGTGCGATGACGCAGAACGAAACAAGCCACTCACAGCTTGCGCAATACAAAATGTACCATGAAAAGGGATCACGTCGAATACCACGGATTGCAAAGATCTTGTAAATGGATTCGAAAGGTATTGTAACGACAGCGGTGACAACATTAGAATCGTCAGGCTCCTCACATCTCTCCACCAATCTTGACAGCGATCTTGCCCACAGCACTTTGCTTCGCCATCATCTCAAATGCTTCCCCAGTCTGATCGAAAGCATATTCGTGCGCCACCACTGGCTTGATGCCGTGCGCTTCAACGAACTGCGCTAGTTCGACAACTGCGTTACGCGGGAAGGCGCAACATCCTTTTACTGTGTTTTCGTTGTCAGCATACTTGGCGTTTGAACCAGGAGAGATGGTCAAAGGCTTACCAGTCTTCGCGGTGAACAAGATGCTTGGGACAAAAGCCGCGTCGATAGGCGCATTTGGTGTCAAAACACCTGGCATGCTGATCAAACCTCCAACGCGGGTGCTGTTGATAGATTTCATCAACGTGCCTGCACCACCTGTCTCGATAACGTGATCGACGCCCTTGCCGCCAGTAATTCGAGAGACTTCTTCGTCCCAATTCGGCGTGGAGACATAGTTGATGAGGTGCGTCGCACCGAGGTTTTTCGCAATTTCGAGCTTACTGTCCGAAGAGGAAGTAGCGATGACCGTTGCACCCAGAGCCGAAGCAATCTACGTCCTGTCAGTATACATCCACTTGCAACACACATGACGACATACCTGGATCGCAAAACAGCTAACCCCACCAGTCCCCAAGGTAAGCACCCACTTCCCTTCCAATCTCCTATCAGTCCAGCCCCCGATCCAATCTCCAACACTCCCATCCAACCTCCCATCAAGCTGCCCACGAATCGCAGACCAAGCCGTCGCCCCCGCCGTCGTCAGAGAGGCTGCCTCAATTGCCGTCAAGTTCTTTGGCTGCTCCACAATCCACTCATCAGGGAGCACAAGATACTCCTGCAGCGTGCCATCTTGACTCGTGCCGCCTAGGATCGTGGCAAAGTCCAAGTTGCGGAAGTCTCCCGACAGCCACCCGTTCTGGTTGAACATGACTGCGAGTCCTTTCTTATCGCTCCAGGTAGAGCCTGCGCCAGTCGAGTGGATGATGCCAGCCCCGTCGGAGCCGGGGACGAGGTCGGGTTTGTGGTCTCCTGGGTATTGGGGGGAGCGGGTGGAGATCAGGACGTCGCGGTAGTTGAGGGAGGCTGCTGTCATCTTGAGGAGGACTTGTTTGGGCCCTGGGGTTGGGATGGTCTTTTCCTGTTTCCTCAGGTCGGACAGCTTGGTGGCTGCTGCCGGAACGGTCCATGCTGTGTAGGTGGTTGGGGTAGACATTGTAGAAGTGCTTTTCTTCCGGTAGTAACTTGGTAAAGATGATGAGGTTCTGGTTGTTATCGTGAGCTGTAGTGGCATACTTATACCATATTCTGATACTTCTTCCATCAATACCGAGATGCAGTCAGCATGCCGCGACACCGATGATGCTTAGCGAGCTTTCACATAAGGCGTCCATTTCTGGTGTATTCTGCGACAACTTCCAAGTCGGGGTTTGACAAACGCGTCTCGAAACTTTGAGGCTCATGGCTGATACATTGCGTTGTGAACTTCTTGATTGGATGCAATACGCCGACATTGGTAAGCAAGGCGAGCAGCGTGATTTCGCAACACATACCACCGGCTACACAAGGATATCCTCGAACGCGAGAAAATGCAATTATCAGAAGTTTGGTAAGCAAGGCAAGAAGCTGCATCAATCAGTGTTTATGGCACGCAATCGTCATTCCAAAACTTCTCTTCCTTCCACCTACGCACCATCCTTCTTCCTCTGCCCGACGAAAAAGCCCAATCCAAAATCATCCGTCTTGAACGTAATCTTGCTCCCCTTGGGAAAGAAGAACACATCACCCTTCTCAGCCTTCACTTCCTTGCCCGTCTCATCGCTGATGTAGAAGTGGCCATCTACTATGATCTTGATCTCATCGTACGTATACGTGTACACGAGTGGTGTTCCCTTTTCTAGACGGTAGAAACCGCCGCTGATGGGCTTATCTGGGTCTGTGGACTCCCTGGGAGGAAGGCGGGGTTAGTTGGTTGTAGTGGGCTGGTGGAATAGGATTGGAGGAGGGTGGGCATACGATGATACGACGTCACCGAGGTAGGCGTTCTCGTTGGCGATTAGAGGGGGCTTGAAAGTCGTTTGCGCTTTCTCGAAGTATTGCATTGCTGGCATGGTGGTGGTTGGAATGAGGTTGGGTTGTTCAGGTTATCTAGGGGTGTTATAGAGGCCGCTGGAAGTGGAAGGCGCAAGAGCACAACCGGCCTTATGTAGTACAACCTTATCTATCATCGCCCAATCTACAACACTTACGGCATCGGCATCATCAGCTTCTCAAGATACACTGTTGACGGGAGTTCCCCTGCCACCGTCATCCAGTCAGCCGCCATACAGGCGTAGAGCAGTGCATGCCTGGGACTTTGATACTGTATATGGCGCTTGGCGTGCGTCAATTACATGGCAGATTTGGCGGGAGCTTTGCTAAGCTTTCCGATCTTATCCACTGCCATCTATTAGTGTGCGCTGCAGGTCATGAGCAAGACGACCCCGAAACGTTGGAGGTAGATGCGGATAGTGGGGTGGCATAAGGTGGGGCAATGAGGTGTAATCTGCGATTGGCTATGAGCTTATCGTCAGGAAAGGATTACTCCATCTGGATGTCGTGCATATGTGGGTTAGTGTAGTAACGCGGGTTCCGACTATGACTCGAGGAGACTTTCGCAAAGCGGAGATGCTTGTTGCTTGAAAGGGACGATCGCGCTGCGTAGTAATCCTTAGAACTGCGTCTTGAATTCTGATAATACATTCTGGGTATATTCAAATTAATGGATGCGGTAATGATATCATGCAGGTCGTTCTTCTTCATGGTCTTCGTCCTCTTTCCACTTCTTGCGCCACCACTTCATCTTGAACCAGTCGCCCAAATTGTCCTGGCTTTTGCTCCCTTGGCCGTACCCCCAGGTTTGTCGTCTCCGGGATGTTTCGTCCATGTCTGTATCAGAGATATCGCCATCTTCTGGATCGGGATGATCAAGAAGTGATGTAGAGCTGTCCACGGGCTTCTTTCCTTGCGACACGCTCCTGCCTCGGCTACCGAATCCTTCGAACCAGGACCGTCGACGCATCTGATTGAGCCAGGCCGACTGCGCAGCATTCCTTCGTGGAGGCAATGTCCCAGATCTTGGTCGTCGTTCTAAATCCACGGATCGCCGAGCAGGAGAAGGCAGAGTCTCTCGGTCGTTGAGCTCATCCCAGATCTCATTTGTCTCCTCCGAGATAGTCATCCGCCGTCTCCTCGGAAGTCTACGGGATTGTATAGGACTTTTCAAGTCACCGGCGTCTACCGATGCTCGCTTCTTCGGATTGGCGAGTGTCACCGCGGGGCCTGTGGGAGCGCGGGCCAACAGAGGTGTCCTTTCGTCGACCGCTTTCCGTTTGGCTTGCTCCGAGGCATAGCCATGAACACCTGGGGCTTCTTCGTCGATGCCCAGAGGTGAGTCGGATTCGTCGTGGCTATGGCCATGCGCAAGGCCGATACCGGGTTCCAGCACATTGTGAGGCATCGGAACCCTGCCTGTGTGCTTGCTTGCTACTGGTGACATGGGCTCTTCCTCGTTGTCTTCAAGTCGCCAGCTCAAGCAGACAACCCCCGCGAGCAGAATAACAGTTCCAAGCGCGATCAATCCTGCGTGCAGACTCGACAGGCGATCATTCTGGTCGAAGTAGATGAGGCCGTCTATAATCGCAATAATGTTGTACACGCAGAACACTAAGGGGTAAAGTACGCTCGTGCTAACCAACTTCAGTCCGCGATGCATGTAGTAGAGTTGGGTCAGGGCGAATACGACCAGTCCGACTAGGATCATCCACGACTGCCAGCGGTCAAACTGATTATGGCGGTCGATGAGAGTCCGGACGAGGAGTTCGACGGCGCTCTTTGCGATCAAGAGTGAATGCGCGGAGAGGATGCCACTGACGCAACCGAAGAGGATACCGCGTACGAGGCGTTGTCGAGGAGTGGTCCGCGGATGCATGCGGTGCAGTAACCAAGTGGCAATAACCAGCATGACAACCACTATGCCCGTCATGACCATCCATACAATGAAGGTGTTCCGTCCCAATAGCGCTAGCAGTTGATCCAGGTTATGCGACGGTTCCGCAATGGCACCAAACAAGGCGATGAGCAATGCGCCTATCGCAACGAGCATTGTGCCGACGAAGGAGTATCGCGTAAAGGGTTCGCTGAGGATGATGGAGGCGCATATCGAGTTGAAGACGAGGCCGGATGCCTGGAGGGTGGAGAGGACGGGAAGGGGGAGGGTGGTGATTTGTATGGTACTGCCGACGATGTTTGCCACGACGAACATGAGCATGCCCAGCTGTATATATGTTAGTGAATCGTCTCTGGATGCGCGAGGGGTGTTCGTGCCTGCCATCTCCGCCGCTTGTATGGGGGTCGCCTCTCATCATCGTCGTCCTTCTCTTCCTCTAGGAGATGGGACTTCCGCTGCAGCGTCAAGCCAACGCTCTGTATGCTGGTAGAGGCAAGGCCGACCATTACTCCAAGCTGCACGTCCGTCCGTTAGCGGTCTATTCCCGTGGTGGTATGGCGGCCTGGGTACTCACAGCAACGCTCGCGCCCGGCGAGAGTTCCACCATGGTTCGTGTCGGCTGTCGTCGCTGCACTGCGCGTATCGCTACCTAGTCGTCGGGCGCATGCTGTGCGTATGAGGGGTATGAAGCGGGGATGTGTAGTCTTGATAGTAGACAGCGCAGACGTGGAAGTCGCGAAACGTCACGCTGAGTCGGTGAAGTGCACGAGACGGTTGGGGAAGACTAGCCGACGCCGTGCAGGTTGCAGGGATCAGCCGACTGATGATGTAGTTGGATTCAGGAGGAGAGCCCTGGAGAGCTCAGGAGCAGCAACGAGGCGACGCGACGAGGTTGAACAAGAGATATATCTATTCTATTCATAGTGTGACAGGTTTAATATTACCATCGCGTACCTGCGACGTCGTGCCATGGATCCTCTGCAGACGTACCTGGGTAACCGCGGGCAGCGTCTGGGTGTCTGGGGGCCCAAGCTTGAACTTCAACCTCCAAGCTCCGTCACTGCTATACCTCGACGTCAGCACCCATAACCCTCCCCCGTAGCCCAGAGGACCCCACACAATACCGCCATTATGTCGCAAGTCCACGCCCTCTCCGACGACCAGGTACAACTCCCCACCCGCTCCAGCCCGCGGCAAGCTCCCCGCCCACTACGTCAACACGATAGCTAACACGCACCACCATGGCAGGTCGCCGGCGAGCTCAAGAAGATGACGGCCTTTATCCGCCAGGAAGCCATGGAGAAGGCCAACGAAATCCGCCTCAAGGCCGACGAGGAGTTTGCCATCGAGAAGTCCAAGCTCGTGCGCCAGGAACAGGCCTCGATCGACTCATCCTACGAGAAGAAGTTCAAGCAGGCCAGCATGTCGCAGCAAATCACCCGCTCCACCGTCTCCAACAAGAGCCGATTACGCATCCTCTCCGCCCGCCAGGAGCTGCTCAACCGCCTGTTTGAGAACGCCGAGAAGAAGCTGGGCGATGTTTCAAAGGACAAGAAGAAGTACCAGAGCGTCATGAAGGACCTGATTGTCGAGGGCGCCTATGCGCTCAACGAGGACAAGCTGCAGGTCAAGGTCCGGAAGGCCGACTACGACCTTACCAAGAAGGCTATCGAGGAGGCGCAGACCGAGTACAAGAAGAACATTGGCAAGGACGTCTCCATCACCATTGATGAGAGCGACCCGCTGCCAGAGGGATCGTAGGTCTTTCTACTGCTATCCGATAGGGCAAGACTAACTCCAGACAGTGCTGGTGGTGCCATGATTGTCGGTACAAACGGCCGAATCGACATCAACAACACCTTCCAAGAACGATTGAAGCTACTCGAATCCCAGGCCCTGCCGTCCATCAGGGTCACGCTCTTCGGTGAGAACGAGAACAGGAAGTTCCACGACTAAGAGGTTAGTCTGGACGTGGAGTACGAGAGTTGGCTGGCGTGCCCGGCCGCAGTCACGGGTCAGCACAGACGAAGGTCCGCGTCAGCAGTGTCGGACCGAGGTTTTGATGAGTAGACTGTACATGCACGAGATCTTGTAGACCTCTCGGAACATTTAGCGAGTTTTATTCCATGCACATTATCGGAAGTAATGTTTGACTGTGATATCATTGACCAACTGTTCTCGACTCCTAACTACAGAACCTCGTATGTACTGCGAAGGAGGGTATAAATAACAAAATGTGCGTACAAAGACGCTGTGTATCTTCGCATCAAGTAGTGGATATCATCAACACTCATTACTCCCGTAATAATCAAACGCCAGTGCTAAGTCATAGCATGCAAATGCTCGTATATACAACAAAGGAAATCATTACTGTGCATCGAATGCACTCATACGCGTTCGTAAACGCGATCCCACATGGGACTTCTCGTCCTCTTCTGCCCACCACCCATGACGTTCCTCAAAGGCCACTCAGTCTTGCTGCTCTTCTTGAGAGACGAACTGGGATCTGGGTATCGATCGAAGCTTCTGTGTCCACCATAAAGCTCATCGTCCTGGTCGGTATACCCGTTGTTTGAGTACTCAGGGCCGTAGTCTTCAAGGTATGCGTATCCGCCTGCAAAAGGATTTGAGGACGGTTGCTGGTGGGTGATGGGAGAGATGGGTCCGGAATCGTCGGATTGGTATCCATGGCCGGAGTTACTGGATAAGCTGGAGACAGCAAGGCCAGAGGAACTGCTTCCGCTGTAGTCGGCGCTGTTGTATGCGAGAGAAGGGCGGAGGAGACCTCGTGACGCTTCGGCTGCTGGGCTACTGATGGGACTGGTGGGAACGGGTTTGCGTTTTATGCTCGCCACGGCGGGGACGGAAAGCGTGTCCAGAGCGGACATACCGGGTCTCCGCGGGCCTGTCTTTGGTGGTGAGTTGTTGCGACCTAGCACCGGAGAGTCTCCGTTCAATTCTTCGTCGGGTTCGGTCACTTCGGCCACTGAGTGCAGGCTCTTATAGCTTGTTCGTCGGCCGCGCGCACGATTCGACGAGTGGCTGTGGTAGAGTGCGGGCGCTAGGATAGGCGTGTGATTATCTTGCATCGCCATTGGTGTTGACTCTGATGGCATTGAATTACCGTCGTTGGGATGGGGAATGCCTGCAGTCGCAATGTTGTTTGCCTGAGACGGTGTAGGTGCTGCAGCCGGTGGGATCTGATGGCCATGGTAGGCTGTAGACATGGGAGCCGGATCATAGCCATCATCCTCCCAGTTCATGTCCTCAACGAAACGGCTCGTCTGGTGTGATGCGGGATTCAAAGGCCGCCTGTGTTCGAAATTTTCACCGCCCAGTCCTCGGTCCTGAAACGAGAAACGGGGAATGAAGCCCGGGGATGACGGAGGTTGGCTGCCTTCGATGGATCTCCTTCTCTTTCGGCGCAAAATAAAGCAGCATGCGAGTAGTAATGCGGCAAGTGCGAGTACCGCCAGTGGCACACCCACACCAAGTCCGATCTTTTCGCGTCTTGTCAAACCAGCGTCGCTAGAAGCGGGTGCCACAGGATCTGTCGTTGGGTTCAAAGTTGCAGATGAACTTGCAGCGGAGGATGCAGATGTTGAGATGGTAGTTTCCGAAGATGATGATAATGATGACGATGATGATGACGACGATGGTGATGACGACGATGATGATGAAGTCGCGGGTGTGGTCGAAAGTTCGGAAGAAGATCCAGAGGAAGATACCACGCTGGTGATTTCGCTCGAGGCACTGCTCGAAAATGCCGCAGGCGTGGAAATCGTGCTCAAACTTTCGGATGCTGATATCGCAGAGGATGGCACTGCGCTAGTCGATAGTGACTCAAATATCGATGAGTCCACATTTGAAGCAGTCTCTGAGGGAAATGCCGTTGGTGATGCGGTGACGTCGGTGGGCAATGCTTCGCTTGCAGGTGGTGCTGCCGTCGCTGGTCCGAACTCTTGTATGAAGTAGGATTGTATGTCGTATGGCAGCTCTTCGAACCATTGCGGTCGGTTGTCGTCTAGGAACTCCTCCCATAATATGCTCGATACGGCGGGTATGTTTGTCGCAGCAATCTGTCTTAGCGAAAGTGGAAGTGCAGTAATAAGCACTTGCAAGATCTCGATACTATTGTCAATGTCAGCGCAGTCAAAATTGATGTACGTCAAGGAACCTTACGCATCAGGATCTTGTCTATGTTGTAGCGATCGAACATCTGGTCTTGGTGCAGGTGTGATGACAGGCACCGCAGCGCCGTGTACCAAACCCACCACATTCCCCAAGACCAGCCAATTCCATCCTCTTAGCGAATGCATGTATGCGTGAACGAGCGAGTGTGGTAAAGAAAGCAGTAATAATAAATGGCAAGTAGCGGAGAGTCAATGTTCGCAATGATGCGTCAGCGCTTCATGTCTGGCAACAATAGTACGAACAGTCAGGAAACCAGTGCCCAGCGGCAGCGGTGGCCATACTTTTTGACTGTTCACACCCATGTACATTGTCGCATGCCGTCGACGTCCATAATTCGTTGAAGCAAGCAAAGTCGTCGCAGTGTGGCGATTGATCAAGAGATCGTCCACACAGCCCACCGGTCTCGTTACTGCACTTGGTAGGATCTCATGCAGATCAGGGTCCTGACAGCCGGTTATGAGGTCGCGCACCCGCAGATTCGCCCCTCACTAGCCACACTTCGGATGACACTTTTGGTCGAATCGCATGTCGAGCTGCCGTTTATCCTGGCACGGATGTTTTTGGTGGAGCGATCCGAGTGGGTCAACGGCTGAGTGTGGCTGGTGCGTTGCAGGAGGGTTCGCTTCGCTGCCGAACTGGAGAACGCTGTGCCGGCGAAGCGATGCCGCGTATACGTTTGATGCGATCTTTGCAGGGAAAGATTTGCATACAGAGACAACGTGACGTTCGATAGACATTCTTTTTATTTTTGGATCAGTTGGCGGAGGACGAGTGCCGACCAATGACTGTTGGGTGCTCGGGCTGTTTGGGTGACTCCTTCCATCTCGCGTCGGCTGCGCGCAAACGCTCAATGAGGAAATCACCGTTCACCGTCACCATAGTCGCGTCTTCTGTCTACGTCTACTGAAAAATCTTAACACAACCTCACACCCACTCCTCCATGACCAGCTTTGTATATACCACCACCACCATTAACACGTTTGCCCAACGCGACCCAGCCATGGCATGCAATCAACCTGCGCCATACCACCGACGAATGCGACATGTGCGTTCCTGCGCGAGTACCTCGAGAGCATACGCGTAGAATTCGCACCTACAAGCGATCGCCTGGACAAGACATGAAATTGCTGAACCCCTGGCTCAGTCAAGATGGCAGTTAGAGCAATCATGTTCAGTGGCAGCCCTAATCCTCAAGGCTAGCCTTTGTACCTTCAACTGACTCAGATACTCCAGGACCTCGCCGCTAAGCACCATGCACACCCATGGCGATACTTGTCACAACGCGACTTGTAACCCAGACCTATCAACGTACACACATCGCGATAGAAGCTATTGTCTCGTCCAGTACCAATACACGCATTCGTCATTGTTCAAGCATGCTGGCTACACCTACGCTCGAGTAAAAAAAAGAACTTGCATCTCAGGAGCGGAACGACGTTCAACTTGCACGTTCAGAACACTTCAGATCTAGAACCAGTCACTACAAAGACAACGCGGACGATTGCCGAACGAGAGACCAAGGCTGTCACGCTAGCAGCCAAAGGCCTTGTGTGATGCGTGGATTGGTTACCGAAATGAATTGGCGCCCGACATTTTCCCACTTTCCAACCCCACCTTCCAGGCCTTCTTTCGAGCTCCGCGACAGCGACGACGACGCAATTCTGGCGATATATTGCCCTCTTCTTGACCTCATTTCATCAAGCAAGGCTCGTTGGTGTAGTTGGTTATCACGTCAGTCTAACAACGGCCGTCAAACGCCAGTTAGGACACTGAAGGTCCGGAGTTCAAACCTCCGATGAGTCATCATCGGCGTTCGCAAGAGCGCATCGAACTTTTTTGCCTTTCCTCCAGGCTGTTGGGGTATCTTTTTGCTTGGACAGCCCCCACATCACCATTTTGAGCCGGTTGAGCCTATAAATTGAGGAAGATGACGATGCCGATTTTTCTAGGCCCCCTTATCTCCTCTAGCCGACGGCCTTACACTCTGAGGTACCCTCGCTGGATTGTGGGCGCTCGTTGGCCCGTCTACCTCGGTATCGCATCGGAGGCGAGCCTGTAGCTTGTATGGAACATTTAGATGCGAGTGCGCCTTTGACTTAGACGCGGTCTGGTCATTGAGATTATCCTTTGGTATACGAGTATTCAGATTCTAGTTAGGCAACGCTACTTTGCAAGAACTGCATACGATTACGCATTTGCTGGCTACAAAATTGTGGAGGTTCGACGCCGCGGCGCTGTTCTGTTGGGTTCGAAATCTTAGGCTAACTCGCACAGCAAGCTGTACTTGGTCTATGAGGTCAGGTCGGGATGTTGACGATAGTTAAACATTCTATCTATATTAGACTACCTTCGCAGTATCTGTGCAACAGCTACATGCAGTCTATTCACATGGTCCTCTCCACCTGACTTGCATCTCCAGGCCACAATACCATCTGGTCTTACTAGAACGGCTCCATTACCTCCTACCTCTGAGAGCTGATCCCATTTCCCATCAATATCTTCCAATTCCCTACCATCAATAGCAACAACGTAGATTAGCTCGTCTCTAACCTGGTTCCAAGTAGTAGGGTCTGCCGTAAGGAGAACGAAACGGTCCAAGCACAAAAGATCGCGGGACGAAACGACATCATCTCCCTTCCTCAGCCACATGTGGGGAAAGTGATGCCCAGGAATGGTCGAAGGGTGGTATTCGGTGACCTTCAGCTTCCCAGTCTCGTCCACTTGGCCACCGTGAAAATTATCCCGCCCCTCATTGTCGATATCAGCAGTTGGATAAAACCAGCCTATTTCTGCCCCTGGTGCCTTGAACTCGGCATCGAGGATGTTTTGCGCTCTCTGCACATCCGCATGCATTTGAGCATAGCCTGGATGGCTTTTGTCAAACAGGACTCGAATGGCTCTCTTGTTCTCTTCGACTGAAGCGTCTTTGCTGATACCCAATGCCTTGTCCATGATCATGCTGTGACTCCGCATGTTAACCAGGCTCGATTGCGCTACTCTTTCTCCAATCGGGCGGCGTTCTTCATCGTATGTGTCCAGAAAGTCGCCATTCCCAAGTTTGCCCTGGAGCATCAAAGCTAGCTTCCAAACTAAGTTGTTGGAATCTTGAATACCCGTGTTAAGTCCGAGAGCACCCCATGGTGGTAGACGATGCGCCGCGTCTCCAACAAGGAAAGTGCGGCCGTTTTTACTGCGATACTGCTCAGCTGAAATAGCGTTGACAGACCAGTGGCTCAAACTCATGACTTCAACTTCCAAGTCTGGGATATTGATGCTCTTCTTTAGTCGACTCATCATCGCGTCATTGTCGAATCGCACGGGATCGTCTGGGAGGATGCCGCAGGCAAAAATCCACTCTTCTGTGTCAGGGTTGTTGGGGTATGGGCCAAGGTGGTACATATAGCCAGTTCCAATACTTCCGCCCATGTCCGGGTTGATGAACCAAGTGATGAACGCTTCTGGTTCAGGATGTTTGAGGGATATTGGTGCTCGAATGTGTGCAGTCACCATGTCGACTATGTTCTTCTCCCCATGCAGTTCAATACCAAGTTTGTTTGTTACCATACGCCCGCCATCAGCTGCAATGACATACGAAGCCCGTATAGTCTCGCTAGGTCTAGATTTGTCATGGTATTCAATCCGTAACTCCACGTAGTCTTCCTTCTCCACGATGTCGATAACTTCGGCGCCATACTGCACACCGCTCGGATTCAACTGCTTGGCCTTTCGTGAAAGAATGGGCTCAAGCCGTATTTGTGGCAACGTGAGATAGCGACTAGGACTTGCTGTCCTATACTCGTCGGCATATCTCCCACCACCCCATGCGTCGCGCGAGACTATCTTGGTACCAGTCGGTCCAAGAGAAGTGTACCACGCGGTCTTGGAACATGTGTCCGGAGGTGCTGCATTGGCGATAACCTCCTGCTCCACCCCCATCTGACGAAATATCTCGCCGGTTCGTTGGTTTAGGCCGCATGCTTTTGGGTGGATTGAAGTGCTAAGGTGACGCTCGAAAAGCACGTGTGGGATGTTGCGAAGGGATAACAGGATTGATGAGGAAAGGCCTACAGGGCCTCCCCCTATGATGGCAACTGGATACTGCTGAGGACTTGCCATTTAGTCCCGGTAAGATTGATGGACAGTAACGAACGCTGGAACACATGAACTTTACAGCGAGGATCCCCGCTGTCTTTGACATTTCGGCTCCACATTCCCCTCCCGAGGTCTTTACCATTCCAGGGTTGTTACCAACTTTACTAACTTGACGTGGTAAGCATGTGGTATCTCACACTACCTACGTCACTCTCGGTTCAATATGGAACGTCAAAACGGCGGTCTTCCAGGCTTCGCGCTCGAGCTTCGAGTCGTGTCGCGGCGGACTTTGGGTGTGTACATTGGTGGGGTCGGTAAGTGGATAACGGTAATTTCAAGACGGCGGTCGGTCGCGACGAGCGCCGATTCTGTCCCACATTCCGCCTGCTACTTTGCCCGCTTTAATCATTCATCCATCACACATGTGTCAAAAGGATTGATGGCAAAGAAAAAGTATCTTTGATAAACGATTGGTTGAGGAAATCTATCCATCCTCTATGTCTCTTTGTTTGCCTAAAGTCGGCAGAAATATGTACAAGGAACGTAAGGCTATACGATCTGAATTTTTGCTCGAATCTCTCGAAAATGCTCAGAAGTTGCATTTCGCCAAAGCATGGCCTAGTACGCGCCGTAAGAGCCGGTGCTCATAGCACTGTTTCCATCGACGGTAACAGTAACTGTCTGCTTGA